GACATGAACTCAGTGGCTGGCTCTTTGAGCATCCCTCCTGAGGGATAAGAGGCCTTACCAGGCCACAGAGGAAGACAATGCAGCCAGTCCTGATGAATCCTGATAGGTTAGGGTCAGATGGAAGGGGAGGAGAACTTCCTCTATCAGTGGACTTGGAGAGGGGGATGGGAGGAGATGAGGGAGGGAGTATGGGATTGGGAGGAAATGAGGGAGGGGGATACAGCTGGAATACAAAGAGAATAAAATGTAATTAATGTAAAAAATTAAAATTTAATTAAAAAAAGAATACCAAAACAATATAATTTTATGGTCGGAGTCACCACAATATGAGGAACTGTGTTAGCGGGTTGCAGCACCAGGCAGGTTGAGAACCACTGCTTTAGTGGATAGTTTCAAATCCATGTGCATTTTGGTAGTGCTAATTTTGGACTCAGAAGGTTATTTAAAAAATAAGAAGAGATGGAGGAAGAGTGGAAGGACGAGAAAGAGGAGGAGACATAAGGTTGGAAAGGTGAAATGAGATCCAGATGGAGTTAAAGGGAGCTATGGATATGAATATGATTAAAATACACTGTGTGTGTGTGTGTGTGTGTGTGTGTGTGTGTGTGTATGTGAGAGAGAGAAAGAGAGAGAGAAACCTTCAAAGACTAAACATTAAAAAAAAAAGAAGGTAGAAACCAATTATTTCTTGGGAGATTATAGAAAGAGGTCAGATAAGAGTTTGCAGTATTTGACTTATAGGTTAGATCTAATTTGGTGGCTTTGTGATTTCTCCATAAGTTACTGGTAGTGGCATGGCAGCTAGACATAGCGCCACCTCAGGCACCTTCACCTCTCTCAACAACTTTTCTCCATGCTCCAGGACTTTGGGTTGGTGTTCTGTAGCTGCAGTTTCATGTAAGATATTTTCTCCTGTTCCTCTCATACTCAGAAGCCTCTCACTCTTAAGTGTATTATATTCTAGCTTCCTTTAACTAGCCTCCACTTCTTGAATACATCTTGTAATCCTTAGAAGCCCTCCAGCCTTCCCAGTAGTATGCCTCAAACCCAAATCAAATAAACCACAACACAGAACCAGATGACACCAAGTGTTGGGGTTGGAGGATAGGACCTCTAATTTGTTACTGTTTGAACATGCAAAAATAGTAATTACTTTGAAAGAATTTTGGCAGAGTTTTACAAAGCTAAACATTGTCAGCATAGACTCTAATTATAGTCTTTGGTTGATATTTGGCCAACACTGTTGAAAATGTATGTCATACAAAAACCAAACCCACAAAGTTTTGTAGCAATTTTATTCATAATCAATGAACACTGGAAGCAACTAAGTTCTCTTGAAAAAGAGTAAATAAACAGATTGCAACAAATCCATATATCACTAAGCAACAATGAATAATCAATGCATGAAATATACGAGAAACTTTAACAGGCTACTGGCAGCCTTGACAGGTACATGCCATACGGCTCCACTTATGTGAAATTCTGGAGAAGGTACAACTATGAGGCCCATAAGAATGTGGATGGTCTCCAGCATTCAGGAAGAGGAAATAACAGAACAGGGACTTGATAGGAGCTAAACCACTCTGCAGATACCCTAACAGATGTGTGGCATTGCTGCATTCAAGGGTTGCAATACTAGGAAGGTTGAGGACCACTGCTTCAGTGGGGAGCTTCAAACCCATGTACAGTTTGGTAGTGCGAATTCTGGACTCAAGCACGGGTTCCTGCTAAATCCAGGAATTGTCACACTGTGAATTTAAAATTACACAAATTTACAAAATCATTTGGGAACTCAAGGGATCAAAAGGCAGCATGAATGTAGGCTATCCTAAGAGAATGTATTATTTATGTAACCATTACAAATGTTTAAAGGTTTTCACCCCATTGGTGTGTGTGTAGGGCGGGGTGGAAGCCCTGACCCAACTTTAGAAGGGAATGGCATATGTCAGATTAAAGAAAAAGAAATTGCACAGGAGCACATTATTTAGTTGATAAAACATTATTTCTCATCCAAGGACAAACGAACAATTTTGCCATATATGGTATTGCTGCGTATCTGTCATCTACATATTTAGGCATATATTCATGTAGCTATAGAAATATCTACGTCTTTATAATGTATGAATCTATGGCTCTTTATCTATACATTTAATCTATATGTCTATTTCTATGTATTTATGTATGCATATAGCAATTATGTGTTTACCTATATATTTATCTATTGCCTATGTACCCATGCAGTTATCTATGTAGCTATTATCTATTTATCTATACTTCTATGTATATGTGCATCTATCTATCTATCTATCTATCTATCTATCTATCTATCTATCTATCATCTATCTATCTACCATCTATGTATTTATCTATCTATACTCTAATTAATTAATAATTAAATGACTGATATATGGTAAGATTAATATTTCCCAAAGTTGGAACCCATTATAGAGATGTGCTGAGAAGAAGCTGAAATGTTCTATATAGTTATGAACCAGAACTGGTGACATCTCTGATGATTTTGTAATTTATTGTAGCTACAAATGACTATGGATGCAAATATTTATAAATCTACCTATCTATCATCTATCTATTTGTCATCTATCTATATATCTATGTATCTATCCATCATCTATCTATCTATCTATCTATCTATCTATCTATCTATCTATCTATCCTATTATCTATCTATCTATCTATTATCTATCTATCTATCTATCTATCTATCTATCTATCTATCTATCTAATCTATCCAGGTTATTACACATACATATATTTGCTTGGCCAATTTGAATTCATTATTTTTAAGATGGAAAGTACTCCTCCCATGAATATGAGAGGCACAGATAGAAAAGAAGAGAATACATTACTTAAAATTGCTGGGGGCCAATAGAGTGGCTCAGTTCTACAGACATGCTTAGTATTCATAAAGCTCTGGGTTCAAATTTCAAAAAACAAAAAAAAAAGAACTTCAGAATGTGGTTGGTGCAATACAGTCCTGGTGGTAGGCATGCACGCACATGAGTGGGGAGAGCTGGGAGGCACATTGCAATTGACAGTGAGGCACAGTGTCAGTACCTTTATTGATATTCCTGAATAAGGGAATAAGAAGACAGAAATTCAAATCACAGAATAATCCTAATGAATTATGTAGATACCCCAGAAAGGAGGAACATCAGTCCCCACTCCTTAAATGAGGACTGTGCATAGTGACTTCGTTCCCATGGGTATAATACAGAAAATGGAAAGAGGAGGAAAAGAGTTATAACTTCAGGACAGAGAAACCTGGCAAATACCACTTTAGCCAGGTGACAAGAGTCAAGAACAGTAGGTACGAATATCATGTGGCTGAATGAACCTTTGATGTTGTCAGTGTGAAAATGATACCTGATTGTGATCACACTCAGAACTCACACCTGAGTCTAGTCATCAGAAAATTATCAGGCAAACTTCATCATCAAACTGCCTGACCAGTATTCTTCCTAACTGTCAGGGTCATCAAAAACAACAGCTCTGAAAAGCTGTCACAGCCTTCAGGGATGTAAGGAGACATGATAACTGAATGTAAATGTGGATGGAATCTGGGAACAGAAAAGGGGACATTTGGTATAAGCTAATGAATTCCAAATAAAACCATAGGACCTTCAAGTTAACTTAATTATAAGAGTAGATATTACCATCTGATTTTCAATTGAGAAGGAGAAGGGGGTAAGGACTTATGAGCCCCAACTCTTAGCTGAGGTTTTCTGGTAGTCGATGCTACTTGGGAAGGAGAAGTCAGTTTTCTTAAGGGTGTGGGTTCTGGTAGTTCAAACATCCTCTAGTACATGCCCTAATACTTGCCAGCATATGGGTAGCAAAAATTGGACTCACCATGTTACTTTAAAAACAGAAAAAGAGAATGTTAAGTTAGAAGAGGGGTGGGATAGATCTGGGAGGAGTTATGGAGAGGAGTTAAGAAGACAAACAGGGGCTGGAGAGATGACTCAGAGGTTAAGAGCACTCGCTGTTCTTCCAAAGGTCCTGAGTTCAATTCTCAGCAACCATATGGTGGTTCACAACCATCTATAACGAGATCAGGTGTGCCTTCTTCTGGCCTGCAGGCAAACATGTAGGCAGGATATTGTATAAATAGCAAATAAAGAAATCTGAAGAAGAAGAAGAAGAAGAAGAAGAAGAAGAAGAAGAAGAAGAAGA